GGTCTGGGGGAGTTGGGAAGGGTCAGGGGGAGGGTCATGGTTGGGCTGGAGGGGCTGCAAGGGCTTTTCCAGCCGAGATCATTCTGGGATTCTGTGAACCTGGGGGAGGTCTGTGTGCCTGCAAAACAACACGGACCTAAGGTGCCAGCTCTTGGGCTTCAGAAGTTCTTGAGATGTTGAGCCCAGTACTGAGCTTGTAAGTTTTGGGCTGAGCTCCAGAAAGACTTTGGTGGCTCCCACCATTGCTGGGTGCCTCCGTCAGCCAGCTCCTGCCCTGCCCTGCATGGCTGGAGCTCATCCCCAGACACACTGGGGAGATGACAGCAGGGTGCCAGGGGCAGTGGAGCCTCGCAGTCGTAGTTGGCAATGGGCAGGCACATAGCGATCTTCAGCCCCCCTGCTTGGATTTAAGTGGAAGCTGAACCCAGGGCTGAGATGGGCACCAAGAGCTGGTCTCGTCTAGAAACTCCTCCGGTGCGTTCACCAGCCCTCTGGGCCATCACATGCAGAGCTGTGTGTGTGCTTTCCAAGCTGTCTACAAAACGCATTTTCAGGAAGCATCTGCCTTTCACGCCAAGTTGCTCTGACCGCTGCATGATCATCTTCCTTCGTGGTCCTGGTTGCCCTACCTGAGGGCTGCGGCGGTGGCCAGGGTGCTGTCTGGTCCTCGGTGTGCATCCCTGTGATGGATTGCCAAGCACCGGAGGGATGTTCCTTCTCTGTGAGCCTCCAGCAATGTCCTGAGAGAGGGCTTGGCTCCACTCTGCTGGGATCCTGCAAAAAAACATCAAAAACCAAGTCCCCACACTTTGTCTGGGAGGCGCAAGGCAGCCTGGCCAGTGGTGATGGGGAAGGTGTGTGGAGTGCAGGGCCACATGTGCCGGGAGCTGAGTGTTGGGAGATAAATGGAGCAGCTCCTCCTCCTCGAGAGGGAGTGAGGAAGAGGGATTGAAAGCGCCGACACTGGACTTGGAAGCCGTGGGGAACTGCACATACCGGCTGCAGTCTCTGCCATGAAAAAGAAGAGGGTTGAAGACGTGGCTTTCACTGCCCATCCTACAGAGCCCTTGGATGGGACCAGGCTCCGCTGGTGTGTGCTTTGATTGCAGCAAATAATTGGACTAAGTTTGACCAGGAAAGAAAAAGGTCTGGGAGAGCCCAAGCCACCCCCCTCTCACGCCAACAGCATGCACACGATGGCTGCCATCAGCTGATGCTGGATAGTATCTGTGATACCAGGATAGCTGGTCTGAGCCTCTGGTGCTTGTGCACGCCTCGGAGCCAAGTGGCAAGAGGAATAGCTTAGAAATTGTACAGCTTTTGAGGCTGGTTCCTCTCTTACCGTACGTGCCCGCCTGGTCCTGCTTTCCCACCCCATCTGCCACCGTCCCCAGGAGCCTGTGGAGCTCCGTATCCCTCTCGGAGGCACTGGCTCTCGCTCAGGCTCTGTTTATTCGGCAGGATAATGCCTTGGATACGAAGAGGAAAATAAAAGGATGGCTGTGGAGCCTTGCAGCAGCGGGGTCTCGCCGGGCTGTGTCTGATGTTGTCAGCTGCTAGAACAGCTGCGTGAACAGCTGGTCTAAACCTCTTTGAAAACTGCCCTGAGACCAGAGCCTCTGGGATAAATCCTTCTTTTTATGACATTTGTTCTTTCCCGCCCGAGGCAGGTCTTTGCCATGCATGAGCTGCCGGTCAGAAGGAGAAAGATGGAAGAGGGTGCTTGGTCAAACCTCACTCCCTGCAGGTCTGGACACCATGGAGGTCCCTGAAGTGGAGAGCGCGGTGCGGTTTGCAGCGACCTCCACCAGATCCTCTCATTTACCAAACTTTCCTCCTCCTCTTCATGTCCCCTGCGCAGCAATTTGGCTTCCTGATGGTAGAAGCTGCCGTGGTTTGGTTTTCTAAGGATATACTTGGTTAACCTCTTGGTTTTGGTTAACTGAGAGCTTGAGGATACCCCAGAGAAAATTGCCGCACGGAGAAGAGGACCTTGCTGTTGAGGCCTGGCTGCTGTTGGGCTGCTGAACGTCTTTTTCTACCCTTCTGTGAAGCAGCAGAAACTTAACTCTGCAGCAAGCAAGTGCAAATCCATTGACTGAAGTGGGACTGGGCTGCGCTAAGGTCGAGACTGGCCTTCACCTGTGGTTTTTGGCTCGAATCACTACAGCAATGAAGTTTTCCAAACTAAGCACCAAGCCAGCGGCAGAAAGTCTACACCTGAACCTCCATCCACAGCTCTCGAGCCGGTGTCTTTCCGTGCTTGGCTCTGGTGTTATCAAATAACCCAAGACAGAGGGAGAGCAGAGCTGTGGCATGGACCTGGGTCTGGGTTCAGCCCCCAACTTCCCTTTTCCACCTGTCTCCAAGTCCTTGTCCTGGGAGGTGTCAGAGAAAAGCTTCTCGTGCCACTTTGGTGGGTGTTGTGCAACGTTTAGAGGTGTGTGGTGGTTATCTCGGACCTGGTAGCACTAACGATGTCTGAGAGGAAGATGCTGCCTCCCCCTTTTTGGGGAAGACAGCTCCACTCATTAGCATGTGGAATGGCAATCAGTGGACCAGGCGTGCCAGGAGAGGACACCACCCTCTGTGCCACACCCCGCAAGATGGAGAGTGTGACAGTGACAGATTTTCAGCTTTCATCAGTTGCTAGATGCCTGGTGATATCTGAGGCGGGACTGTTGGGGGGCTTTTGATTTAAGCCTGCGATTTGAAGTGCTGGCCCCCCGACATGGAGCACATACAGCCCTGTCCGGATCTTTATGATGCTGACAATGATTATTTTTTTCCCCCTGCCCTCTAGGAAGGCCAGATTTACTGTGGCTTGGTGACCTGCCCGGAGCTGTTGTGCTCCTCTCCCCTAACCGTGCCGGATTCCTGCTGCCAGGTCTGCAAAGGTAATGAGGGGCCAGGAGCTGATCCTGTGTGGCTGTGTGCCCAGGAGGCCAAGGAGGGCAACGGCATCCTGGCTGGTGTCAGCACTGGCGTGGCCAGCAGGGACAGGGAAGGGATCTGAGCCCTGGGCTCGGCACTGGGGAGGCCGCCCCTCGATTCCTGGGTTCAGTTCTGGGCCCCTCACCCCAAAAAGGCCATTGAGTGACTCGAGCGTGGCCAGAGAAGGGCAACGGAGCTGGGGCAGGGTCTGGAGCACAGGGCTGCTGGGGAGCGGCTGGGGGAACTGGGGGGGTTCAGTCTGGAGCAGAGGAGGCTGAGGGGAGACCTCCTGGCCCTCTGCAACTCCCTGCCAGGAGGGTGGAGTGAGGGGGGGTCGGTCTCTTCTCCCAGGTAACAAGTGATATGAGAAGAGGAATCAGCCGCAGGTTGTGCCAGGGGAGGTTTAGGTTGGATATTAGGAAAAGTCTCTTCCCCAGAAGGGCTGTCAAGCCCCGGAACAGGCTGCCCAGGGTCGTGGGGGAGTCGCCAGCCCTGGGGGTGTTCAGAAGCCGTGCAGGTGTGGTGCCTGGGGACGTGGGTTAGTGGTGGCCTTGGCAGTGCTGGGCTAATGGTTGGACTCGGTGATCTTAAAGGTGATTTCCAACCCAAACGATTCTGTGATTCTTCTCCCATGGAGCCTGAAGCCGCTGGATATTTCAGTTTCCATCACTAGATGGTGCAGGAGACAGGCGCAGCGCCCGTGGGACTGGGCTGGAGCTCAGCCCTCCAAGCACCTCATCTGCTCCTCAGTACCCCCATGCACCCCCTCCACACCCTGTATAGCCCCAGGCACCCCCCTGTACCACTCTCTACCCTCTGCACTCCTCTGCCCATCCGGATGTTGGGAAGGGCCCTGGGACACGCTGCCTGGGGAGCTGGGACTCTCCATCCTGATCACTGATCATTACGGATCCATCCCGAGGACTGACTGGGTGCTCCCAGGAGGGACACGAGGGGGTGGGGGGCCCTGGGCACAGCAGCAGGGACGGGGTGGCCTCCTGAGGTCCCCTCCAGCTGCCTTTTCCAAGGACAGTGCTCAGTGTCCCTCGGGTGATCGCGGCCGCTCGAGTCTCCTCTAAGTCCATCGGCCGCCCGCTGCTGGCCCCCTGGCACCCCTCAGGTTTGGGAGTGAAGAGCTGACATGTTTCTTCTTCTCCAAAAAAAAAGCGGTTGTTTTCCTTAATAAAGCGAAAAGCCTCAAGAGTGCTTGAGCAGTGTCTTCGCTCAGCAAGAGAGTGACC